GAAAGCAGATATAATAAGATACGATGGGCGGGCCACATAGCACAGTTCACGGACAATAAGTGGACCGCAATCATTACTGAGTGGTACTCACGAGAACAGAAAAGACCACCTGGTCGGCCTCCAAGAAGATGGAAGATGACATTGTTAAACGTTTCGGACGAACGTGGAGAAGAAAGGCAAGAATGCGAGAAGAATGGCGGATGTGTTGTGATCGGCGCAGTCTTAACGACAGCTGAAGACCGATCGATCCAGGTGATCCAGGTGAGGCTATCTGGTCACCCTAAAGCTAGCACATATGTGTAGGGTGACCAGATGTCCTGATTTCATAGGGACAATCCTGATATGCGGGGATTTTTCTTATATAGATGCCTATTACTCCACTTCACCCCCATCCTGATTGTTCACATTTGCTGTCTGGTCACCCTACATATACATCTACCTGAGCTGGAAATTGCACTTCCCAGCTGCAGCGTACACGTAACCTGTGGCTCCAGGCACAGGAGCTGGGAGCAGGGCCACAGTGCTCCCTCTACTGGCACCGATGCAGGATGGAGGAGAAGGAGGAAGCTGCCTGTCTCAAATACAAAGGAGTGTGGTGTGGGGTAGGAGCAGGAGCAGAGAGGGACAGATGTGGGGGGATAGGAGCAAGGGTGGAGAAGGGCAGGAACCAAGGATGAGGAAGGGTAAAAGCACGGCAGAGGGGGAAGACAAGAGCCATGGAAATGGGAGGATAAGAGTGGGACGGGGTGGGGAAGATGTGCAGGAGCTGGGGACAAGGGCAGGAGTGGGAGGATGAGGCAAGGACAGGAGCCAGGGGAGGACTGGAATTGGGGGACAGGGACAGGAGTTGGACAGAGGGAGAGCAAGAAGCCAAGGGAATAGCAACAAAGGAGAGGTCAGGGGCAGGAATGGGAATAAGGATAGAAGGGGACAGAGAGAGGCTGGGGAAAAAATATCTGTAACCACTAGAGCACACTCCCCTACAGAATCTGAAAGTTCACAGAACCCAAGAGTCCAGAGTTTCACCATTCCTCTGCTGTCTAACAAATAGCTGTGAAACCCCATGGCAAAGTATGTGTCTCCATCCCCCTCTACTGGCAGGTCCACAGAGAAGATAACAGACTTCTACTGCTACCAGTTACGCCATTACTTCCAGCCTAGAGGACTGTGCTGTGAATCTAAAGATTCCAACCATAATGGTCCCTTCTGACCTTAAAGTCTATGAGTCTATGCTGATGACCCATAGGGTGGTGGGAAGGACAGTCAGTATGGTTCCATGTGATGAAATGATTGGCTTTTAAATGTTTAAAAAACTTAGAAATTTACATTCTGAAAAATCTGTGCTAAAGGAACATTAAGGTTGCAAAGTCAAGCACAGCAGTGTTAAGACAGGCCAACATTAGACTAGGAGAATTGGTGGCATCTGCCCCCTTGAGACCTTCTAGTGCAGGTGCCATGGGCTTGGAGGCCCATGGGCGGAAGAGGCTTATATCCTGGAATTACTTGGCGCAGCTACATCCTCAGCACACTATGATTTGCCTTGTGCCCCTCTCCAGCCACCAAGGGGTGCTCTTGGCCAGGGTTTGCTGCCCTGGACGTAAGGGGGGGAAGGGGAGGCTGGCTTCCGGCATGTCTTGTTTCTCGCACAGAGTTTGAGGAAGAAGCTAGGAGGAAGAGGAAGAGGAATTTGTCGGTGAGATGGCTGTGCTCTGACAGACTCAACCAGGCCTTGCTGTATCGTCTTTGCAGCTTGGTGACCCAAAGGGGAGGTGGGATTGCTGCGGAACCCAAAGGGGAGCAGGGGTCAGGCGGCGGAGGAGATGGAGGTTCAAATATGAGGCTTCCCCAGCCTACAAATCCAAGTTTGGGGAGAAACTTGAATAACTCCATTGCTCCCCTTTCCAGTCATCCCAGATGTCACCCTGCCCCATCGCCCAACCGTTGTCCCTGTCCTTCCTTCTTACCTCAGTGTACCCTGTCCTGTCACCCCCCGACAGCTCCCCAGGCCAGGAACAGCATGCGTGGCAGCAGAGAAAGGCTCTTCCGGGGGGACTGTAGGAATGACTGGGAAGGGGAACTCCTAGCCCAGCACAGAGGCATGGGGAAAGCAGGAAGTGGGAGCAGATGAAGAGGCCTGGACCCTAGCCCAGGGGATGGGAAAGGAAAGTGGGAATAGATGAGGAGGGGGTGTCTTGTATCCCGGCACAGGGACATGAGAGAGAGGACTCTACCAATCAAGGGGGGGAAGATATGTGTACCCAGGGCTCAAATGGCAATTACTTCACAAGGAGCGATGCAGCCTTCTCACATCCCACCCCACCCCGGGGGACTGGGGCATCCTTGACTGCGTGCCTGGCCAGTGCAGAAGGGCAGCGTGATGGGTTCCAGCCCCAGCTCTATTCCCCTTTTGCCTGCTTCACTTCCCCACTGGCTCAGCTTCCCAGCAATTGCCTCCTGCTTTTTGTTCTTCCCTTACTTCCTCCCCTCCTGCGGCTCTTTCCTGCTCGACTGCTTGCTTTCTGTGGTCTTTGATTAACTGACGTGTTCGTTTCGCCTGGGTTGAATTCAGACATAAGGTCACTAGTGAAATGAGTGCAGGGGGTTCTCAGACCAGTCATTCCTGGATGTTTAGCCGCAACACCGATTCCCCAAGACTCACAGGATCCCCCAAGACTGGCCGCCTCCAATGAGGAAAGAACCTGGAACTGGAATAGCAGAGGGGACGCTGGCAGAGTTGGTGAGGGGGCCAAGAGCGAGGGGAACTGCAGGGCAGAGTCGAGGGGCAGTGGCGGAGCTGTGTCAGCAGCTAGCACTGGATGAGCAGGGAGAGCTGCAGGCCAGGGATGAGGTGCCTCTGAAGAGCCGTGTGGGGATCCCAGTACTGGGATAGGAAGGGGTGCTGCAAGCCAGGATACAGAGCTGTGGGAGGTCTGGAAAGCAGGTCTGAATGAGGCTCATTGGCAGAACTCGGCCAGGGCCTCTGGGGCTGAAGCGAGGGAGGGTGCTGAAGGTCAGGACTGAGCTGCGTTGCCTGCACTGTGCGGGTTTCGTACAGAGGCTCCTCCCCTGGGTTGGGGGACCTAGAAATCTCAGCTTGCATTTAATAAAAGCCCCAAACAATAAGTTTCTAGCCTTTTGCCTTGTGAAAATGGCCTTGGACATGTAAACCTGAGGGGGGAGGGGATTTGTCACTGCTTCTTCCTAAAAATGGTGGGTTATTCATGATCATCCCCCTGCCCGTGGCTGCTTGGGTTTAGCCTTTGGGACGCCTGTAATCCACAGCTGTGGAGCGCTGGATTTGTGGGAGGACCCCAGGCCCCACCTGGGCTGCCACAAGCTCCCTTCCCCCTCAGTGAGCCCCAATCCTCCAGTGTATTTGGAAAATTGTCCCTTGAAAACCTGTTTTACATGGTAGCAACTGTGCACAGAGTCCAGCCCAAGCGGCCAGACTGTAGCTCTGCAGCAGGAGGCCGAGGGTGACATGAGGAGCTTTCCAATCTCCTCATTTTATATAAAATGAGCCAGTTAGCTTTGGGGTTGCCCCAGGGAACCATCTTCCAAACCCTCCCCACAACCCGATGGCCAGTCCCGTGCACGGTGCAGTGAGTATAGCAGGCAGGGATTGGGGAAATGGCTTTGCAAGCTGCTCAAGAGAGGTAATGTTAATGCAGTAGCAGGGGGTGCTCTTGGACCGAGGGGCATGGGCACAGTTGGTGGAGGGCAGAATTGGAACAGCACAGCATGCAGCAGTGAGGTGCATAGGCGGAGCTGGGGGTGGGCTCAAGGCTGGAATAGCAGGGGGTGCTGCAGGGCAGGAGCGAGGGGCCCGGGGAGAGCTGGGAGGCAGAACTGAAGAAGCACAGAGTGCTGCCGGGCAGGAGCGAGGTGCTCTGGCAGAGCTGTCGGATGTGTGGAGGAGAAGCCTGCCAGACACCTGCTCACGTTGTGCTCGGCTTCAAGACAGCTGGCACTGTCTCACCATCCTCAGCCATAAGCCTGACAGAGAAGTAAGTGAGAGGAATCCTGTGGGCAGGCCACCAGATCACTTCTACAATGAACTGTATAAGGCCCTGTGAATCCCTTGCCCTGCAAGAGGCTCTCGGAATGTTGATGCCAGCTGTCGAGCTCCCCCTGTGGGCACAATGCCCTCCCGTCCTTCCCTCTCAGAGCATGTCAGGGCCATCATGTATAATAGACAATAGACGTGGCAACCAAGTGCAATAACCTCAAGGGGAAGTGTGCAGCTTTCCGGGGCTGCGGGGAGGGGAAGAGAGAGCTTGACACTGGCAGCCCCGGTGGTTGAAGTCCTATACTCTCCAGAACAGACACAGCACAGGCAGGGCCAGGGCAAGGCTTCCACAAGGGAGGGAGCGACTCTAGGGATGAGAGGGGAGCTCACTCGCCATGGCCCAGTCAATCCTTGCTGAGGGGCCTGCCCAAAAGGGACCAGTGTGGGATGGGGAGAAAGGAACCTGGTCTGGATACAAGTCCATCAGCTGTCAGCAGGGGGCAGTTCAGGACCCAGCACACACTGATTTTGGAATTCTCACCCACCTGCCACCTATTGCTGATTTCTTTTGGGAGCTTAGCGCAGGGATGGGGGGGGGGGAGGTAAATGTTTCCCAGCACAAAACCATCCACTAAACAAGTTGGCTCTCTGAGTTGCCAACTTCCCTCTTCCTCTCTGCCCAGAGCACGCTGGATCAAACCAGATGACAGTGAATCTCGAGAACAACCCCCACAGCAAAGACCTGAATGGCTGCCCATGTTAAAACAGCATGGCTTTTGCTCGTGGCTTGGTCCATTTTATTTTTAGGAAGTAACCAAGAAGGGTTTGTACGCTCTGAGAAACATGAGTTCATCACTGCTGTCACCAATATGAGCAATATGGGGAGGAGATGGGGGTGGAGCCTCTAAACAACGCAGTCCATGCAGCTGACACACTTTTAGGTGGAAGTAGTGCTAATTGTGGCAGGCACTCACAAGAGCAGTGGGGAAAGAGAAACTGACGGCTGTTGAAAGAATTCTCCTTTCAGCAGGTCTCAGGATGGAGGTTTGTCCCACCGGTAAGTCTTTCTCCTGTCTTGTTGCTGCAAGTGTTGCTAACCCACTAGGCTCTGCCAGGGCAGTGTCACCAGCTGGAGTGGGGTGCTGGGGAGGAAAGGGGAGACGAGGAGTTCCCCAGATGCTTTGGGTGGGAGGTGTTAGCTTGCAGGTGTTGTGCTGTTTTCACCTCCCTCCATCCCTCCCAGTTATTCAGGACCTGATCCAGCTCCCTGCAGATGTTCCACTGACATTAATGGGACCAGGGTCAAGCCGTTACTGAGCTTTGTACAGACAGGACATCTCTGAGGAGGAAGGTTAAATCCCTCATGTCAGTGACCCTCAGACTAGCTAGATAACAAGGAGGCATGGAGTACGCCAGGCCCAGCCTGGGGCATCAGAGGTGCATGGTGCTCTGACTGTAAACAACAGATTCCTTTGATGCAGCCTCGGTGTGACAGGAACAGAGGTGCAAAAGCATGACTTGCAAGTTCAAGAGCGAAATTGTGAAAGCCTTCACTTCCCTGCTCCAGCTGGGGCTAGTGCAAAGTGAGTGTGTGTAAACCCCCAGTGTTCTGATTGGGCAGAGCGTGGCACTGGTGTAAATGACGGCCTGTGGGGCACAGTAAATCAGAGGAGACAGGGAATGGCCCACAGCTATTGCCCTCTCCCCACCAGCTGGAAATGGGGGGTGGGGGAGAGGGAGCCCAAAGACTCAGCTCAGCAATAAAATCATAGGCCTGGACATATCCCTGCGAACCACAGAAACACGACGGACTCCAAAAGAAGCTAGAAAGACAGAAGTAGCCGAGAGGCGATGAGCGAGATAAAAACTTATTTCCTGGTTTGGTAAGTGGTGGGCAACAAGGAGGGGAGCTGACAGAGAAAGGGATCCTGGCTGGCCTCACCATGGCAAGGTCAATTGTCCAAGGAAAAGGTGGATCTCAAAATTGGTTGTCCAGCACGAAAATATGGTTGCTCTAATGTTGTTAATAGCCACAGTGAGTTACTTGACATTATTAATATTGTTCTGCTTTGTACTGCAGTAGTGCCTGGGGCCCCAATTGTAAACCAGGGGCCACAGTGCTAGGTGCTGTACAAACACACAACAAAAAGTCCTTGCCCTGAGCAGCTTAAGTGGAGTCGTTGTATTTCTGTGATTCGCATGGATATATCTAGGCCTATGATTTTATTGCCGAGCTGAGCTATTGGTCTTCGGGCTTGGTTTGACACTGGCAGACATTTGGGGAAGGGTCTTCATTGGCAGGAAATCTGCCTTGAGGCCTTTGGAGCAGTGAAAGGTACCCACCCCCAACCCCATCCCGCCTGGGGACACACAGCTGGCTGGCACCGGTTCAAAAGTCAGCTGTGCTGCCTGGGGAGGAGGCATGGTCAGAGGGCCAAGAGTTTGCCCGATTGAGTGTGTCCCTCAGGCAGCTTTCAGTGAGGAAGCTTCTGCAGTTTAAGGTTGCCCAGCCCATAGCACGACCCCAGTGAGGGGTGGGGGTGTGAATACTCCCTTGTCCTCTGCCTGGAGTGAATCCCACTGGGGCGCAGTGACACCTGCTGGCGCTGGGGGATGCCATTTGCACCTCTCTGGGCCAGCTCCGGGGAACCAAGCCCATTGTCTGTTTCTGTGGAGAAAATGTTCTACTTCCTCTCCTCCCTCACAGTCCATGGACAGGGCGAGCCTGAAAGGTGGCGACTCCCACCCCTTTCCCTTGGAGGGGGGGGGCGAGGTGAGCGACTTCATCTTGTGTGTTCCTATGTGGGAGAGAGCTACACCAGCAGGGCCATGGGCTGGGCTGGGCGATGGAGCCTGCGCTCATAGGCTGGAGTATGGTGAGATGATCATGTCAGAATCAGAACAGTGGTGAGGCTGGGAGAGGGATCCATGCGAGGAGGAGGGTGAGGAGCTCCGGGGTCTGCTACTGCCTCTCATTGGCTGTAAACTCAGCCTCATACCGAGGTAGACCAAAGGCCTGTGTATTGTGGAGCCTGCATTTAGCCTGGCTTCTGGTATTGCCAGCACAGTTTTGTACCCATTACTGATGGAGGGAGGAAATTGCAGGTGCAGTTGTTCGTGTCTGCAGCGGTATGCATTTAGATGCCTAGCTACAGTATGTGGTTTTCGGTGGGTCTGGCTAGTTAAATCATTGTGTTCATTATTTGGCATGTGTGCTGTGTGGTCACCAAATTTGCACCATCCACGCTGGAGGTGGGTTTTGAAAATACAGGTCTGAGCCTGTCTTGGGGAGATGCTAGGAGTTGATGAAACCTTTGGGGGCACTGACTCACTGGTGCATTGGACTTGACTTAACTAATTCCTGTTCAGTGTGGGTGAAATTTACCCCTGGGCAGAGGGCCCATACATGGTCTATGCATCATTTATGTCCCAGTTAAGTCCTCAACATAGGGCTTACGTGGAACTTAGCTGGTGCTTAGACTCTGGGTGGGTCCTCTGTACCAGATGTGACCTTCTTCACCCTGTGATTGCAGTGCTACGCCCAGGCTCATCTTTAAGGTATTGGAGTGGGCCAGTGCGAAGAGCCACTGGGACTCTCTCTTCCCAAGTTCCCAGGCTCCGTTTTCTATAAAAGCAGGGAATGAAAGAAAGGGGAACCATTGCGCTGCTGTCAACCTCCTCTGCTGTTGGGAAAATAGAGGCCAGCTGTCTGCATTGGAGTCTATGCACATTATTATTATTTATTACCACAGTGCCTAGGAGCACTAAGCATGGACCAGGACCCCACTGTGCTAGGTGCTGTACAAATACCGAACCAAAAGATGGCCCATGCCCCAATGAGTTTATAATCTAAGTAGAATAATTGCCCTCATTTAACCATTCAATTGATTCAATTGACAGTTCTTCAAATAAACCACTCGATTCGGGCTCATTGCAGGATTTTGTGGGCAAAAGGGTGAATTTTAGGATATTTTCTCTCCTTTCCCCACCGATTTAACTACAGAATCCAAAGCAGGCAACAAAGGACTCAAACTAGCCATCTTGTGTCTCCGCTACCAAAATGCAGAGGTTTGGGATGCTTGCTAGGGAAGCACAATGAAAGAGAGGCGCATACATTAAATTCATGGACTTATTAAGTTACTTTCAATCGGAGTTAGGCACCTCACCTGCTTAGGTGCTTCTGAAAATCCCACTAGATGCATCTTTAGGTGCCTAAATCCCTTCGTAAATCTGACCCACCTGCCCCGTTTCTTGCTCACTCTCATCTTTATTCCCCTTGTCTCCCCTTCCATGTCTGACTCAGTCTGCCCATCACTTTCTCCCTGCCCCCATCCTTGTGTAAGTGTGGGAATGGTCCTGCTATTGTGGGGAACTTTCCTGGCTTATACATTACCCCGGTGAAATGGGCTAGCGAAAGTCTCTGAGTCCTCGCTCCCACTTCCTTTACCCAGAGGCCTGCCTGACCTTGAGGGCTCCCCTTCCACTCTCCTCCGTGGCAGAGTCCTCGTAACCCCAACAAATCCGGGCCCAGGATTCCTGGGGGGCTCGACCCCCAACCTTGTCATGGTCACATAGGGCAGGGGCTAGGGTGTCCCCACTCCGGGGTGCTCTCTCTGCACTGGATGCTTCCCTGCCCACTGATCATTACATACAGTTCAAAGCAAATACAATGTATTAAACTGCAATCAATTTTAAAAAAATAAGGAAAAAATGGGAAAGGGTAAAGGAAAACCCATCACCCCACTCTGTGGCATGGGGATGTCACAACCAGCGTCTCTGGAATGTCAGGGCAGTTCAGTCTGTTTCTCACAAGTCCCAGGCCTCCTTCTCAGGCCCTGGCTGTGCTGCAGAGACGCTGTGGGTTGGACACTTGCTCTGGCGGTGGCCACACGCTCTCAAGCTCTAGGTGCCAGGACCCTTCTTCCCAGCGTCTTCCCCGCCCCGTCGGGGTTACGATCCCCATCCATGTCTGGCCTGCAGAGCCTCTTGACTGAGGCGTCTCTCTGTGCTGGGCCTACTGCCCAGGGTCCCCCTCCCTCTCCCCAGCTGCTCACCGCACCCAGCTCCGGACTGCTCCAGCCCCAGCCCCAGCCCCAGCTCCACTCTGCCTCAGCACGGCTGCTGCTGCTTCTCTGCCCCCTCTGGCTCTGGTTGCTGCAGCTCCCCTCCCAGCACAGGTCGGCTCTGTGGGCTGCTTCTGTGACTCTGCTCCCAGCACCTACCTGCTTCCTGGCTGCTTCTCTGGCCCCTCTGACTGGCACAGCTCTGCTCCCAGCCCAGCTTGGGCCCCTGCTTTCTCCTTAACTTGGCCCCACTCAGTCTGACCCAGGCAATTCCAGCTCACATGGAGGACGGGACCCCCGTGGCCTCCTGTCATGCTGATTAGCCTGCCCGCCCTGTCAATCAGGCTGACCTGGAGCATTGGCCTCTGTCCATTGTTCCTGGGGACTGTCAGTCTCAGGGTCCTGATTTCCCCTTGGTACTGGGAGCTAGCCAACCAAAACACCCCCATTGAGTTTTAGTAAGGGGACAACAGTCCCCTTACATTTGTCTACCCTTTTCTCTTCCAGTCAGGACAGGTGGGTTTTGTTTTGGAAAGTGCAAATTATTTATAAACACTATCAACAAGGCAGGCAGGGAATTCATTTGTTTCTTCGGCTGTTTGGCAGCATTCGCAAGGAGAGGGAGCCCTGTTATTTCCAGCCTCAGCTTGGCCACGTGGGTCAGTGGATGTCCTCTGGGGGGCAGATCCTTGTACTCGCTACATGCTTTTAAGCTGTTTCACCAAAGCAAAGCAGCCGTAGTGCCGGCTTCACTGGTCAGTGGAAGATACCCCCAGTGATGCAGCCCATCAGCTATAACAGCACCACAGCCATGAGGGTATGGAGCATAGCTGGGGGCGAGGCTAGGGAATATGTGCCCCTCCGCTGCTCCCCGGCTGCCCGAACAGCCCCAGGCAAAGATTGTAGCAGCCCTGAGGCTGCTCTTGCTCGCACCAGGGGCTGGCCTGGTCTCTTGTTGACCCTGGGATAAGGGGGCATAAAAGTGACATCAAGCCACCTTTGCCCCTTTCCCCTTTTGAGCTGCACTTGGTACAGGATTGGGGCTGGGATTTTGAATTGGAGTTAGGCAGCCCATTTGCCAGGCAGTAAGCCATCATAATTCACTTGTCGAGCCTGCAGGTCTGGTTGTCACAGATTGCTAATGCAGCCCTAGGATGCATGAGGGGAGGTGTTTCCAGCAGAGATAGGCAAGTGTTAGTACAAGGCACTGGTGAGACCTCATCTGGAATAGTGTGTGCAGTTCTGGTCTCCTATGTTTAAGAAAGATGGATTCAAACTGGTGCAGAGAAGGGCTACTAGGATGATCAGAGGAACGGAGAACCTGCCTCCCAAGTGGAGACTTAAGGAGCTTGACTTGCTTAACTTAACAAAGTGCTTCCTATAAATACATCACAGGCAGGGGCGACTCCAGGCACCAGCGCAGCAAGCGCGTGCCTGGGGCGGCCTGCCGGTTGCTGTGAGGGCGGCAGTCAGGCGGCCGTCGGCGGCGTGCCTGCGGGAGGTCTGCCGGTCCCATGGTTTCGGTGGCAATTCGGTGGCGGGTATGCCGAAGCCGCGAGACCGGCAGATCACCTGCAGAAACGCCGCCGAATGCGCGTGACTGCAGACCGCCCGCAGGCATGCCACCGAAGGCCGCCTGATTGCCGTGCTTGGGGCGGCAAAAAGCATAGAGCTGCCCCTGATCACAGGGATAAACACCAGGGAGGGAGAGGAGTTATTTAAGTTAAGGGCCCATGCTGGCACAAGAACAAATGGATAGAAACTGGCTATCAATAAATTTAGGCTAGAAATTAGACAAAGTTTTCTAACTATCAGAGGAGTGAAGTTCTGGAACAGCCTTCCAAGGGCAGAGTGGGAGCAAACACCCTAACTGGTTTTAAAATTATTTTTAATGGAGATATCCCATCTCCTAGAACTGGAAGGGACCTTGAAAGGTCATCGAGTCCAGCCCCCTGCCTTCACTAGCAGGACCAAGTACTGATTTTGCCCCAGATCCCTAAGTGGCCCCCTCAAGGATTGAACTCACAACCCTGGGTTTAGCAGGCCAATGCTCAAACCACCGAGCTATCCCTCCCCCCAGCTTATCAAGACTGAGCTTGATAAGTTTATGGAGGGGATGGTATGATGAGGTTGCCTACAATGTCATATTGCCCATCCATGACCGCTATTAGGAAATCTCACCGATGGCTAGTGATGGGACACTAGATGGGGGGCAGCTCTGAGTTCTACAGAGAATTCTCTCCCAGGTGTCTGGCTGGTGGGTCTTGCCCACATGCTCAGGGTCTAAGTGATCGCCATATTTGTGGTCAGGAAAGAATTTCCCCTCTGGGTCAGATTGGCAGAGCCCATGGAGGGGTTTCACCTTCCTCTGCAGTGTGCGGCGCGGGTCACCTGCAGGGTTGAACTAGAGTAAATGGTGGATTCTCTGTCATTTGAAATCTTTAAATCAAGATTTGAGGGCTTCAGTAACTCAGCCAGAGGTCATGGGCCCACTACAGGAGTGGGTGAGTGAGGTTCTGTGGCATGTGGTGGGCAGGAAATCAGATTAGCTGGTCATGATGGTTAGCCTTCTGGCCTTAGCATCTATGAGTCTATGAGAACAGGCATTTTCCCATCCTACCTGTGTTGCATGGGGCTTGGACAATGCTGCTTCCTCCAGGTCTCCACCAAGGCTGCCTCCAGAGTTGGGGGATATGCTCCTTCCCAGCCCTAGGTTCCAAGCTCCCGTCCACGCAGCTGTCCCCAGTCTCAGTGGCTTCAACTCAGTCAAGACAATTTGTGTGCATGTATACAACTGTCTGCAGGAAGCTGGGTAAGGGTTACTGCTTGGAGTGACTCTGCCCCCTTTGTCTGTGTTGGGCATCCCCAGGGCATGTGAAGCCTGGAGGGAAACCAGTAGAGTTCAGTGAGCAGCACTGGGGGGCGTCAGACTCTAATCGGGCTGCCCCATCCCTCACTCTTCTGGGAAGCTGCAGGAAACAAGCCCCTGTGCTCTGAGATCACTGTTCTTTCTCCCCCTTCTCTTTTCTCTCCCCTGCCACAGCTGATTCCTTCTCCTTTTCCACCCTATTTTTAGACATTGTTCCGTGTATGCGAGGCACACTAAGAGAGTTTCCAAGCCAGCTGGTGAGACTTCCCCTTTCCCCCCAGACACGGGAGGCCCAGGGCATTTGGTGTGTGCACTAACGGAGCAGGATACCTGCTGGACTGACCTGACACAGGGGCAGGGAAGGTGTTTGCCTAAAGAGAAGCTCCTGGACTGGGGCTGAGTGAGAGCTCTCGACACGCCAGTGCGTGTGGGTTGATCTGTGGTTCCCCTGAACTCCATGCCTTCCCTTGCCGCTGATATGGACTCTCCGTTTCTGCTGCTGCAGCTTCCTATTTCTCCTCTGATTCTTGCTGAATGCTCGCTCTGGCCGGAGTGTATTTAGCTGGTCTGCTGTCGCTCCATTTCTTCTTCTAGGTCTTTTATGAATCATTCTGTGGTCTTCTCATCTCTGTCATCACTTGTCTTCCTGTGAAGAGAGGAAGCAAGAGCAGCCCTAGTTACATCTATGTTTAGCCTGTGGTCATTGGAATATCTTCCCAGCCCCATCACTCCTCTTCCTCAGATGACCCCCCAAATTCCCTCCCCTCAAAATGGCATCAACTTAGACTCTCTCTTAAACCATTTCTCTGTGTCCCATTTGCATTTGTTTCTTGCATCTGTTTCTGCATTTAATAGAAGAGCTTGAATTTCTGAGAGACCGAGAGAGATCGAGTCAATGGCTTTTGATTGGGTTAGATTTTGTATTTAGGTCACTGCTTTATCAAGTTCATTTGTCCTGATCTTGCTCGTGAAAGAAGCTCGTTTGTATGAGAAACCACAAAACAAAATTTGGCAAGATTGAACACTGCTACTTGGGAGAGTCCTGGGAGTGAAACGGAGGGGATTGTTGCAAGATCAGGGCTGAGGGACATTGGCATTGAGGTGTAGTGCCCAGGACTGGTGTGTCAGGGGGTGCTGCAGGGTCAGGAGGAGCATTGGTAGAGCTGGGATTGGGTCCCAGGAATAGAATAGGAGGGCAGGGTGCAGGGCAGGAGGGAGGTGCCATGGCAGAATGTTACGGGAAGGAGCAGCTCAGGACTGGAATGGCAGGGGTTGCTTTGTCCTGCCTACAATGTTGTGGGGTTCCGCTTGCCCTGAGACAGCTCCCATTCTCACTGGCATTCATTTTTCCTTTTGTATTTCCAGGGTCATCTGATCTGAGCGAGGCTGAAGAGGCTGAAATAGACACCATCAAGCGGCACAGGATGGCACTCCTGGAGGACATTCAGGTATGGGCCACCCCGCCCCTTCCCATCTCTGGACAGGCAGATCTTCCCAGAACCTGCTCTCTGGGGGAACTCTTTACAAACATCCCATCCCATCTAGAACAGTTCCCTGGCCTGGCAGGAGATACTTTCCCAAGCACCATCAGATCTGGAATGCTGAGGTTCATATGGCACCAGTCCTACCAATAAGCAGCATCCAGCCTGGGAAACTCTCTGTTGAAAGAGATCATCAAAGCAAACACTATAACTGGACATTTTGAAAAGGCTGGCAAACTTTATGAGCAATATTACTATAAGCCCAGATCCTCAGCTGGGATAAATCGAGGTAGCTTTGTTGATATGAATGGATCTATGCCAAATTACAGCAGCTGTCCCAATATGTGGAGTTACTATTAATTAGCATGTATTACTTGTCTAGGACCATAGCTGTGCATGGCAGTGTACAAAACCAAAACTGATAGTTTCTGTTCTATTCCATGCCCATTGTCATGGCATCTTAGCCCCTGCCCTGTGTCAAGCTGTCTGGAGTGGCTCACGAAACCTCAGGACAGCTACAAATCAGGGCACAACCCCCAAACTGGTTGTGTGTTTTTATCATTAGATTTAACCACCCATCAAGTGTGAATTCCACAGGCACTATAACAGCCTTAACACGGAGTCACAGACAGTCCTCTTGGGCACTTCAGTCTATCTTGCCACCCAGGCAAGCCTGCCTTTGTGACAGATGGTCCCTTACACCAAAAATCACAATATTCAGGTTACTCCCAGTTCCAAAGGACCAGTTACTTACCCCAGGTCATTTGTACCTTAAATCCAATACCAAAGACAATGCTTTTAGCCAATCCTATATTTAGGGCCCTACCAATTTCACGGCCATGAAAAACGTGTCATGGACCATGAAATCAGCCCTCCCCCAAGAAAACTGATCTCCACTGCTGCTAGGAGCCCAGGGCTCCTAACTGCTAGTCCAGCCGCACTGGGGGGGGGACAGGAGTTGTCCTTCCCCTGCACAGCTGCTCTTGGTGGGGAAATCAGACCCACCTCCAGAGGCAGCACAGAAATGAGGGTGGTACACCCTCACTTCTGCAGTGCAGCAGCCCAGGAGCTGGGCTCCAGGCCTTCCATCCTCCCGCCCCCCCCCGCCACGGCTTCTGCCGCAGCACCAGGCGCCAAGCTTGGGGCTTCCTCTCACAGTGGCTCCTGCCAGGCTGGGAGCTTTCGCTCACAGCGGCTGCAGCTGGAGCAATCTGGGCCCTGGGCTTCCGCCCCCCCCCTCCCCCCGCTCCAGCTGGACCTTGGGGCAGTCTGGGCTCGAGGCTTCAGTCCTGCATCTGCAGTCGGGGCACCTAGGCTCCGGGCTTCTTCCCCTGTGGCTCGTGCCGGGACTCGGGGTGACCTGGTAGGGGCTTCTGCCCTGGCACTTCTTCCAGGGCTGGGGCAACCATTTTTCCTGGTGGGCCCACAGATTGGCCAGGGGCCCCTGCCTTAATCTGTCCCTGGCATGGACTAGCAGCTAGGAGCCTCCAGCTGGGGCACTCCCAGCAGCATTGGGGGAGATCCTACCCACCTCCACCTCTGGGAACCTCTAACTGCAGGAAGCTGGGAGGGTGCTGTCTTCAGAGCCCAGCTCTGAAGGTAGCACAGAAGTGAAGGTGGCCATCTTGGGACCCACTTACACCTTTGCAACCCCTCTCATCCCCCATGATCCCATTTTGGGTGGGGACCCCCATGGTTACAAACCCTGAAATTTCAGATATAAACATCTGAAATTGTGAAATTGACCCATTTAAAAACCCTCTGGCTGTGAAATTGACCAGACTAGACTGTGGATTTGGTAGGGCCCTACCTATATTAAACTAACTAAAGGTTTATTAACTAGGAAAAAGAAATAAGGGAGGTATGACAAGGTTGAAGCAGGTAAACACCCACACCCCCATGAGTTACAATCGTAGGTTTCAAAAATAGAAGCTGCTGTAATGTTCAAGCGCTAGCTGTCCTTAGGGTTCATCCAGCTAAGCACCTTGGGGATCCCTTGCTTATGCTTAGAAATACTGCCCTCTCCAAATTCCAAGCAGCACAGTGATACAGATCCTTCTGGTCAGGGATTTTTATTCCCTTCCCCCAGAGTTCAAACTGTGATGGGATGAGGGTTCGTGCAGGTCCCCTCTTCGTGGGTGTGGGGGGAACAATCAGCAAAGTCTTTTGTCCACTGATGTTCCACGGTGGTTTATCTGGTGTCTATGGGCCTTCTTCTGTTGAGCAGGAGATGACACCTCTTGTGGTAAACTAGTATTTCACGCTTGGTAATGCTTCTTTTCTGACTGGGGGGGGTTTCCAGTTTCATAGCAAACACTTAAATATTACCTTATAGCTTGGGGTACAGATATTGCCAGTGAGATTAATGCATGCAGCAACTCACAAGCGTTCCATAAAGTCCAAACACATCTCTCTAAATCTAATACCCATTTTAACAATACTAATACCCAAGTGAGCCAGATTGGTTTCCAGCTATGCATTTGTCAGTGTTTCGTGAGGCCTAGGGGCCTTGCCATGAGCTGGCACCTGGCCTGCCAGCATCACACCCTGAAGAGCTTATTGAGCCAGCTCGATGGCGCTATGTTGATTTGCATCAGCTGAGGAGCTGGCCCACGATCTGCAGGTGCCCAGATGCACAGGTAACGAGTGCCTTGACTGGGACAGAAGGTTACGCCAAGTGCTACCAGATAAATAATCCCATCTCGTGCTTCGTGGTGTGAAGTGATTGCCATAGAGTCAGGAATGCAAGCCCCCTCCCCCCTGCCAGGTACAGCTTTGCACAACTGTCCATGTGCATTGTTTGTTTGCCGTCCCACTGCCAACGTAGGAGGCAGGAAACCTGAGTAGATGGACCAGAGGGCTGACCCAGTATGGCAGGAGACAAGATACTGGACTAGATGGGCCAATAGTCTGAATCAATCGTCTTCCCAAAGCTGGTTGGTAACCAGTCACTGCCCACTGGGGCAGGAGGTGCTTAGGTAACAGGGTCCCAGGATGGAGATTCATCCCCTGGGGAATTTCTTCAGCAGTCTTGGTGCATTATCACCGGGGTTAAACAGCTGGGAGATCTCAAATTGCCTATTGAGCAGCTGAAGGATAGTGCCAAGAAATAGGAATAATAACAGTAAATCATTTGTATCACAGTAGCCAAGCTCAGGGCTCTGTTGTGCTAGGTGCTGTACAAACATGTTCTCAGGGACAGTCCCTGCCCTGAAGGGCTTAAAATCTAAATCAACTCGCTGGGCAAAGGGTGGGAGGGGAAACAGAGGCATGGAGAGAACCCCAAGAACTTGGCTCCCTTTGTAACCCAGAGGCAGCCGATTAGGGGCCGGGAGCTATCAAGTGTCCAAAGGAGCTGAATTCCATGTTCAAATGATAGAATATAATGAGGAGCAGCCCCACCAGCTCATCAGTCTGTGCGGCAACTGCTGAATGACAGGGGCACAAGCAGCTCCCCCTGATACAGGATCAGCACACCCAAGCCCAAGGTGACTCCCCCTGCTTGGTAGCTGGTTCCACTGCCTCTCTGCACACCTTTCCCAGCTGCGTGGCTGGGCTACAGCAGGGAAAGGGGCACGGTGCAGCACCCAGGATCCATTCCAGAGCGGGCACAGACATGGGTCCCTGTTCTCCTGCTCCCTGGCTCGATCTGCACTCGACTTTTCAGAACATTTGCTCCCCACCCCCGCCTTCAGCCAGTGTCCAACATGGGTGGAGAAGGCGACCTGAGATCAGCGCCCTTTTTGATAAGACACCCTGGCTGGTCCCATTACAATGGCCAGTGAACTGGGCTGGCCCTGCCCATGCCAGCAGGGCTTGGCAGCCGCCCAGAGGTGAGGTCTCTCTCCCATCCCCTGGCTCGTTCTCACCCCCGTCTCTTCCTCCCACAGAAGCTGAAGGTGGAGATTGCGCAAGTGTTTGCGGAGATAGATTGCTTCCAAAGCGCAGAAGAGAGGTGAGGATCCAGCCATGTGCCTGCAGGGAGATGGCGATTGCATGGTTGTTCCTTTGGTGCATAGGTGGCATGGCTCTTCTTCAGGGTGGAGAAGGAACCAGGGGCCTGCTTTAATGCCCTAGCTGGAGCCTTTCCATTGACATCAGTGGGGGTTGGCTCATGTCCCAGGAGAGGGGAATCTTTCTGGGCACAGGGGAAATGATGGAGACAGCTGGCTTGCGCACTCTCTCGCTCTCATGAGATTTCTCTTTATTAGAGAGCAGTGAGTTCAGTAAAACACCAGCCCCTTGAGAGATTCCAGGCTCCATGGGGGTTAACACCCCCTGCCTTAGGATGGGCACAGGCAGGCGGGTGAGTGGCTTCTCTTCTCGGCCCTGGAGCAAGCCAGAACTGAGATCAGGAAACTCCTGTTGGGAATTCAGCCCCCCTCCTGCCCCACCCTGGAGGGGAATACGGCCGGCCGCTTCTCTTTGTGCCAGGCTTGATTCTCCACTTTGCATCTGCAGCAAAATGGTCCAGAGGGATAAAGATCTGTGCGTGGGCCGGAAGAAATTCAACATGGACCCTACAAAGGTAAGGTGTACTGTTCCGACTGCCGCTTGTTGGCATCCCATATGGACCTCTCTTTACTACAGATCAGATGCAAGTTACCCACTCCAAAGACATTCATTCTGCCATCGGGGCAGACACACGCGGGGTGGGCCCCAGGAACTGACAATGGGGTGGGGGAGGCTGGTTTCTCAGCCCGACAGAGCACTGTCAGGCAACGCTCCGCGCCACGATATCTTCTGAGAGCTCTGAGCAATGGTGCCTCCCCATGACACATTGTGCTGACACGTGTCAATCAAAGCACCCCCAAAGCAGAAGAGAAATGGAAGGAGGAGAGACAGGGCCAGACTTAATCCAACCACTAACTCTTCTGTCTGTCAAGGGAGCACAAATCCGGAGAGTCCCCAGCCCAGGCTCTCTCACCCCCGACAGCTGAGGTTTGATATAGATTTCTCTAAAACCTATTCCTGGGTTGCCTGGGTAGGAAGGGAGGTCACCCGACAGGATGTGAGGCTTTCTCGCACTCAGAGCAGGCCCGGCCAAGCCAGGCCGCCCCTGCTGCTGGCTTGGGAACGAGAGTCTGCAAAGCAAGTCCGGGTCTCCCACCCGCTGGATAACTCCCCCCACCCCCCAGCGCAACCCGCACTCCCCACCCCACTAGCAGGAGTCTCAGAGCAGGGTGTAAAGGCAGAGGTGAATGTGAATAACAAGAAGAGACCTAAGGGCCACTTGCTCTCCCCTCCCCCGCTCTGCTGGACCACTCAGTCTGTGCGCAGCAAAGAAAACCACAAGCTGCAACAGTAATATCAGCCCCCATCATTTTAACCACAGCAACCGTCTCACTGGCTCCGGCTCAACTGCTGCTGCTCTGACCAACTTTCCATCACGCCTCCGCCCCCTCCCACTGGCTCGCAAAAGAGGACCCTCCAGCAGAGCCGGTGCTAGGCAGACTAAGCAATTGCTTAGGGCCCCGAGCAGCTCAAGGGGGCCCCGTATTCCCTTTTTATTATGTGTTGTATGTGGTGAGGGGGAGGATATTCCTGCTTAGGGCCCCCAGTGGGCTAGCACTGCCTCTGCACTTCAGTACAATCACAGCAACTGCTGGCAATACCCACCAGCCCACCAAAAGGGGAGAACAGTCTGGGTGACATTCACTCCAGAGCATCAGCAAACCAGCATTAGGACTTCTTTCTATTTACATCCCACCTGGCAATCCGGCCCCTTGCGGTCTCTTATGTAGAGTTAAATCAAGCCCTGTTTTGAGGCCCTAAGTGGGACTTTAGTGATGCTTGGTCTTTGTGCTGGCCCCTGTGCGCAGAGGGGGTTGCACCCATTGAGAGTGCAGACTCTGCCCAGGGGTGGTGGGGCGGGAGGAGGGCAGTGGGTGTGACTTTGGGATAGAGCTGGTTGGAAAAACTTAGAGGGAGCTATTTTCCATTGGAAAACGCAGCTCTGTTGAAATCAAAACGCATCACAAAATCATGTCGATTTCATCGAAATTCTGCTTCAGAGAAAAAAAGGCGTGGTGGGGGGAAGGGAGGGGAGTTCTGATAGTGTTGAAACACCCCATTTGGACACATTCAGAATGGAACGTTTCCATGTTTCCTTTCGAAAAGATGTTTCCTTTCGGAATGTTTTAAACTGTGCACGACGCTGTACATTATAATAGAATATGCCTTTTTAAAAAAAGTCAGAATGGAACCAAACCAATTTTGTGGCCACAAAACATTTTGCTCAACCCAAAATGAATTTGGGGGGAGCGGGGGAGGTGTCATTTTCTTCCGTGGAGAATTTTGAAATTTTCGGGTTCCGTTGGATCGAAACAAAGACAAACTTTGAAATCGCAAAATCCTGCTTGAAACGGAATTTCTGTTCTCCGCACAGCTCTGCTCAGGAACCTGGCAGCTCCCCGACAGTAGGTGTCCCGGGCCAGGCCAGGATAGGTACAGCATTAGCTCCTTTGTGGAACATGAGGGGAGGGATTAAGATGGCAAGTCTGGCTGTGTGCTCCCCAGCTGCGGTCTGAGGGGGAGGGGGAGTAGCTGGATTTGGGAGGACCCCTGCAGAGCTGGGGAAACATGATGTCCCGAGATGGTCGGGCTGGACCCCCATTAAATTGCCCTTCCCTGGCCCCCCAGAACGTCCTCACTCACAGCCTGGGTGTGCTCTTCCCCCAGGGGATCCAGTACTTGACCGAGCACAAGGTGCTGTCCTCAGACTTGCGAGAGATCGCCAGGTTCCTCTACAAGGGAGAAGGCCTGAACAAGACAGCCATCGGGGATTACCTGGGAGAGAGGTGAGCCTCCCCTAGCTGCTCTAACTCTCTTAGGCCTTGTCTATAGTGGGGGTTAGACCCAATTTCAGCCGCCAGTATAGCTGAACTGTAGCAACCCCTAGCATAGACAGGCAGAGCTGCTACTTGCACTGGGGGAGCTCGGCCCTGCTTGAAAGGGAGATAAGCCGTGTATAGCTCCGCTTCCGGCTGGTTACCCTGCAGGTGCAAGGGGTTAGCACTGGGGCAGCTGCACTGGTTGCTGATGGCTGTACTTGGGGCGAACCCCCGGTGCAGACAAGGCATCAGTGTAACAACCTTGCCAAAGGTCCTGGTGTCTTTTCGTGGGGGGAAAGGGAGCTGGATTTGGAAACAGGGCCGGCTCCAGGCTCCAGCCTACAAAGCATGTGCTTGTAGCGGCACCTGGAAGGTGGCGGCGCTCACCTGGGGAGAGCGGAGCCGTGGCCGGGCTCTCCGCCCTCCTCCCGGCGCTCCGGCCGGTCGGGGAGAGCAGGGCCGCGGCCGGGCTCTCCGCCCTCCTCCCGGCGCTCCGGCCGGTCGGGGAGAGCGGGGCCGCGGCCGGGCTCTCCGCCCTCCTCCCGGCGCTCCGGCCGGTCGGGGAAAGCGGGGCCGCGGCCGGGCTCTCCGCCCTCCTCCCGGCGCTCCGGCCGGTCGGGGAAAGCGGGGCCGCGGCCGGGCTCGGCGCCCTCCCCTGCCGCACTCCCCACCGGGGGGCGGCGGGAGGCTTTTTTGCCTGGGGCGGCAAAAAAGCCAGAGCCGGCTCTGTTTGGAAAGCAGGGAGAGGGGGTGTGCAGAGATGTTCCTGGGGGAATCAGAGCTCTGAGGGGTCTGAGCCCAGCTCTGCTCTAGGTCACATAGTAAGGCTGCATCGTAAAGCACTGAGTCACAGTCTCCTTCTCTCTCCCCACACCCTCCCACTCGGCCCTGTTTCCTCTACCAGGGACCCAGCAAACCTGCAGATCCTTCAGGCCTTTGTGGAATGCCACCCGTTCGCCAACCTCAACCTGGTGCAGGCACTAAGGTGAGTGAGCATCCAGGCAGAGAGCAGCAGAGGCCTGGGAGTGGGTGCTCAGGCCTGGCTGCAAAGGCAAGCGAACGCATGCCAGAGGGCACGGGGCTAGGGAGACAGCTCAGAGCGAGGACGGAGCTTCCCAAGCATTCATCTGGGAGGGGACCCCCGCCCCCATTTTCATACTTGGGTGTCCGACTGCACCAATGCAGGGGAAGCCACTTCCCAGGGCGGTGTCCCATTGCAGTGCGGTGCGTTGGGGAGCGTGACCCCCATTTCCCTGGGGCAGGGCCGTCCTTAGCCATAGGCAGAACAGGCAGCCGCCTAGGGCACCACGCTACCTGGGGGCACCACTCTGCCCGGAGCCCGGACAGACGGGAAGCAGTGGAGCATGTAAGAGCAGGGCTGCTGGGTCCTAGAGAGAGCCGAATGCAGCACAGTCTGAGGGAGGGGATTGGCTGCTGGGGTCTCTGGGAAGGGTATGGGTATGGGTGGGGGAAGGAACTCACCTGTGAGTGTGACTTTCCCCCAGCGTGAGGTGAGGCAGGCTTGGCGGCTCTGGCACCAGTATCCTTTGTTGTCCCCCATAACGTTCATTCTTCTCCCCCCCTCCCCGCAAGGAGCACCCCTCTCTCTCCCCCCCCTCCCCTCCGGCAGGGCTGGGTTGGGTGAGGTGCTGGGGGGCGGGGGAAGGAATGAAAGTGAAAGTAACTCACTTCCTCAGCAGCCAGCCAGGATTGGAATGGTCACACACGGCTGGGCTGGGGATAGGGTGACCAGATAGCATGTGCAAAAAATCAGGACGGGGGTTGGGGTAGGGTGAGCAGATGTCCCACTTTTATAGGGACAGTCCCAATTTTTGGGTCTTTTTCTTATATAGGCTCCTATTACCCCCTCACCCCCTTGCTGTTTGGTCACCCTAGGTGGGAGTAATTGGTGCCTATATAAGACAAAGCCCCAAATATTGGGACTGGTCCTATAAAATCAGGACATCTGGTCACCCTAGCTGGGGAGCGCGTCTCTCCCCCGGGCTGGCAGCGATCCATCTCATCCGGGGGGAGCTGCACAGGGCAGGATGAGCTGCTGTGGCTCGGTGGGTGCCCCGTCCCTGAGATCAGATGCTGTGCTAACTTCACCATGGTCCGTGGTGCTGGCGGTGGTGCCCATTGGCATGTGATCGGACCTGAGGGTTTTCTGCTGCTGTTGCTATTATGCACCCCAAGAGGTGGATTTTGGGGTCCTGCAGTTTTCCACCTATCTCCTCCTCTACTGCAGCTGTTGGACCAGCAGGCTGGGGGGTGAGCCAAGCATGAAAGCAGTATTGTGTTGCCATTTAGATTGTCATTTAACAACTTTGTTTGCCAAAAATGCTTGCTAACAATCCTAAATTCAATTTCAATATTTAAAATAAAAAATCAATATCTTAGCCAAAAACAGAAAATTAAGTTGTTGACAATTATTTGTGACAAGTTTGGTATGGGGCAGGGAGTGGGCCAGTTTTCATCAGAGAAACAAAAAATGTTGACTGACTTTCCTATAGCCCTGTTACTGCTAAATAGAGCCCTCCAACCACTGTAATATGCTCATCTCCTTACTAGTATATAGAGTAGGGGTCGGCAACCTACGGCATACGTGCCAAAGGTGGCATGTGAGCTGATTTTTGATGGCACGCAGCGGCGAGTTGAGTGGCTCAGCCCACCTCTACTCTGGGGTTCCGGCTGCTGCCCCATTGCCAGCCGGGGTCCCAGTTGCCGGCCCCACTCAGCGCCCGCTGCTGGCCTGGGGACCCCCAAGGAACCCCAGGCTGTCAGCGGGCTGAGCAGGCCGGCGTTGGAGACCCCGGCTGAGCCACTCAACCCACTGCCGGCCTGGGGTTCCATTCACTCAGCCGGCAGCGGGCTGAGCGGGGGCGGTAGGGGGCTGAGCGGGGCCAGCGGCTGGGACCCCGACTGGCAAGGGGCCAGCAGCCGGAACCCCAGAGCGACAGCAGGCTGAGTGCTGCCAGCACCCCCGCCGGCCCTGCTCAGCCCCCCGCCGGCCCTGCTCAGCCCCCCGCCGGCCCTGCTCAGCCCGCTGCCGGCTGAGTGAATAGAATCCCAGACCGGCAGTGGGCTGAGCAGGGCCAGCGGCTGGACCCCAGACTGGCAGTGGGCTGAGCGGGGCTGGTGGCTGGAACCCCAAACAAGGATCCCAGGCAAGGATCACACTAAATTGATAAGATCTGCATTTTAATTTTATTTTAAATGAAGCTTCTTAAATATTTTAAAAACCTTATTTACTTTAAATACAACAATAGTTTATTTATATAATATAGACATAGAGAGAGACCTTCTACAAACGTTAAAGTGTATTACTGGCATGGGAAACCTTAAATTACAGTGAACTTGGCACACCACTTCTGAAAGGTTGCCGACCCCTGGTATAGAGTGACCCTATGTTGTACTAAGATTCTCTTGCTTTTTTCCCAGTGAGTCAGTATAGCTTTTGCCAGCCCAGAGGTTGGGCAGCCAATGTCTTACGTTTTGTCCAACTTTCATAAAGTAAATACATGGTTAATAGGAGTTTAAAAGGCCAGGGACACTTCCTTGTGAAGAATCTGTGCAGCAGATCATGCTAAAGCTGTGAAAATGTCAGTTTCTGATGGAACTTTAGAGGCAGTGATTTATCATGTATTTCTGGCAGTGCCCAAAATGTGCTGCTATTGCTAATGTCTTTCCAAACAAAAATAAGGCACAATAGGATTTCTGTAACATTTCTGTGCTACCTTAATCTAGATGAGATGATTCTGTGCTGACTTCATTTTGGTCACTTTGTGCTTTACCTAGGAGTAAAACTAGGGTTATATTTTCCCACTGCTTGGAAACCCAGCTTATTAAACTTGATAATGCCATTGAGCTATTTACAGTATAAGGTTGATATAGAGTTGTAATTAACATTAAGACTGATGCCCACTATACATTTAAAACTAAAAAGTGGCTTTGTAAAAATGACCTGGGTTTCCAACTCTACTGTGTCTCAGTCAGGGCGGAGCGCCTTGTGAGGTGTCTTCACAATAGCTCAAGGTCACAGTGCAAGAACCTAGAGAGCCTCCTGAAGCATGATGATAGTTTTGATTTAAATGGACTTGAACTGAACAAAGATTTGAGTACACTGTCACCAATGTTGCCACATGCAAAATCAGTGATGGACATTGTACGGTTTATTCATACCACCAAACTTGTTGACATGTATCCTAATGTGTACATTGCCACTCGTATTCTACTGACAAATCCTGTAACAATAGCATCAGGAGAACGGAGTTTCTCAAAACTAAAGCTCATTAAAAACTATCTCCACTCTACAATGAGTCAGGAACGCTTGACTGGTCTTGCTATTCTTGCAATCGAACAAGACATCACTTTGTCTTTGTCATACAATGACATTATTACTGATTTTGCAGGTAAAAAAGCCAGAAAGATTGCTTTTAATTAAAAACAAATCCTTGTTTCAATACCTCTTCATATAAATTTCCAATAAAATATTGACAAATTTAAAAAATTATATTATTTGCATCATTCTGTCAAATCAGAATTTTTTCTATAGCGCTACTTCTTTAGTGCTAGTCCATCAGCATTACAGTGTGCTTAATTAAGTTAAACTGGGTTTAATAACGTGCATGTGGCAAGTTTTCCAATACTGTAAGCTTATGTTTGTGTTGCTAAGAGCAAGTCAGGCATAGGGGCACCAGTTTAATAATCCCGCCTAGGGCACCATAAATCCTAAGGACGGCCCTGCCCTGGGGGGCATCTTGCTGCAGTTCCCTGTGTTAGGGAAGAATCACCTATATGTCATAGGAGTGCATCCTACTCTTTCATAGGTTGGCCCCCCTCCTTCCTCCTGGGGTGACCCAGCATGGGGGGAGAGGACCTGCTGTTTCCAGAGGTGTCCACGTGGGTAGTGTCCACGTGCTGTGGGAGAGGGACACACCCTCCCCCCCTGTTTCAAGGGCATCTCATTGAGCTCTCACATTGCCCATGCGGGCTTCTCGTCGGGATCTTGTGCACTAGCAGCAGAGGGAGCCTGTGTCCTTGGGGGAGGCATCTCGTTTGAGGCTGTGCACTGGGGAGAGGGGTCCCCGTTTGCTAAGAGAGCGTCCTGCTGGACGCCCATGTGGTGGGCAGAGAGGCCCTGGGCTCTGGAGCAGGTGTCCTGTCCTGCTCCCTTGTTTTGGGGGAGGTCCCCGTTTCTGAGGGACAGTGTCTAGTTGTTGCCCTAGGAGCTGAGGGAAGGGTTCCCTGTTTCCCAGGCTGGGTGTCTCATTGGGTGCTGAGGGGAAAGCTGCCTGGGTCCTAGGCTGGGTGTCCCATCGCACCCGTCCTGGGAAGAAAGGGGCCCCTGTTGCACATAAGGACATCCTGTTGCCTTCCCCGTGTGGAGGGAGGACACCCGCACGTCCATGGGAGGAAGGAGGGCGCCCCTGGGCATTAGGGGCATGGAGCCTGCCTGGCCATTGCATGACTCGCCCACGGGCCCGGTGTCCTTGCAGGCAGTTCCTGTGGAGCTTCCGGCTGCCCGGGGAGGCCCAGAAGATTGATCGAATGATGGAGGCCTTCGCCAACTGGTACTGCCAGTGTAACCCGGGAGTCTTCCAGTCGACAGGTAGCTGCAGAGGGGGGGAGTGGGAATGAGCTGCCAGATGTTTGCATGATCCACCACTCACAAAATGTAGTGTTTGAACAGTAGAGGCAGCACCTCCAGCTTTAGCTTCCCTTAGGTCAGGTGATTTGGCCCCGGTCCCATATCACTTCTGCCAGTTCCTACCTGTAGGTGGTTTTTCTAGAGACAAGGGACAATGCTGATCTCCATTTCACTGACAGAAACCCACTGGGCCATGTCCACAGCTGGTGTGAACCCACTCAACTGCGGGAAAGCCAGTGGAGTCTACATGGATTGACCCCAGCTGGGGATCATTAATGATCTGCATGGTGGGATGGATTTCACCCTTAGCAAGTTCGTGGATGACACTAAGCTGGGGGGAGTGGTAGATACATTGGAGGTAGGGATAGGGTCCAGAGTGACCTAGACAAATTGGAGGATTGGGCCAAAAGAAATCTGATGAGGTTCAACAAGGACAAGTGCAGAGTCCTGCACTTAGGACGGAAGAATCCCATGCACTGCTACAGCCTGGGGACTGACTGACTAAGCGGCAGTTCTCCAGAAAAGGACAAGGGGATTACAGTGGACGAGAAGCTGGATATGAGTCAACAGTGTGCCCTTGTTGCCAAGAAAGCTAACCGCATATTGGGCTGCATTAGTAGATTGAGGAAAGTGATTATTCCCCTCTATTCGGCACTGGTGAGGCCACATCTGAAGTATTGTGTCCAGTTTTGGGGCCCCCACTACAGAAAGGATGTGGACAAATTGGAGAGAGTCCAGCGGAAGGCAATGAAAATGTTTAGGGGGCTGGGGCACATGACTTATGAGGAGAGGCTGAGGGAACTGGGGTTATTTATTCTGCAGAAGAGAAGAGTGAGGGGGGATTTGATAGCAGCCTTCAACTACCTGAAGGGGGGTTCCAAAGAGGATGGAGCTCGGCTGTTCTCAGTGGTGGCAGATGACAGAACAAGGACCAATGGTCTCAAGTTGCAGTGGGGGAGGTCTAGGTTGGATATTAGGAAATACTATTTCACAAGGAGGGTGGTGAAGCACTGGAATGGGTTACCTAGGGAGGTGGTGGAATCTCCATCCTTAGAGGTTTTTAAGGCCCAGCTTGACAAAGCCCTGACTGGGATGCTTTAGTTGGTGTTTATCCTGCTTTGAGCAGGGGGTTGGACTAGATGATCTCCTGAAGTCTCTTCCAGACATAATCTTCTATGATTCTATGATCTAGCCCAAGTTTCTAATCTCTTACCTACAAAAGGAGTTGCCTCTTGTTGTCTTGATTTCCCTTTTCCTCCCCTGTTATCTCTGATCTCTTCTTCCTTCTTTCCCCTGGCCAATCTCCTCTCCTCCTCCTTCTTGCCACTCTCCTTCCTTTCCCCTCGTGTCACACTCCATCATCACTGTCCCTCTTCAGGCAGTTGGCTCCAGAAGCCCTATCAGCACCCGCACCTTAGGATAGTGGCTCCTGGTCACCTAACAGAGGCAGTGCTGTTAGTGATCTGCACTCAGATAGCTGAGCCATTGTAATGCCAACCCAGCCATCCTGTCCCAGCAGTGAAAAATCCTGTCACCACCATCAGGCTTGTGTCTCCGGCCCACAGCTCCACTCTCTGGAATGGTCGGCCCCGGCCACCCCTCTGTCCGTGTATTCCTAGCTCCCACCGGTCATGCTTCACGTTCCAGCATTTCATGTGGGTTGTGATGGGCACAAAAACTGTGTCCCAGCGACTGTGTCCTCCCGCCGCGATGCTGTCCTAAATCAGCATCTGTGCCGGAGGTCAGACAGTGGTTCTCAACCGATTTACCATTGTGGGCCGCATCCAATACTATCTGTATGGCCCTGAGGATGTCACATGGCCCACAGCTGTGTGCTGATTGGGCCACAGGCGGCCCATGGGCCGCAAGTTGAGAACCACTTGTGATCACAATGGTCCCTTCTGACCTTAAATTCTATGAGCATCGACAGCCACCTGTCTTAAATCAGCGTCGTCACATAATGGCGCAAGGTTAAGGAGGCAAATAAATGTCACACCCTCCACCTGGGACTTGTGTTCCCTCCACACGCACGATGCTGGCCCTTGACAGGCCCCGTGTACCGGCCATCAGACCCCAGTGGGGTGAGCACCCTCCCCCGCTTTCCAAGGGCTCCATGGGATCCAAGTGCTCAGTACTGGAGCCCAAAGGAACAGGCAATCCGAGGGCCAGCAAAGGGAGACAGCCTCCTCCCACTGCAGGGGGAACCTTTCTAGAGCCTCAATGGGAACAGGGAAACCTCCCACCCACCTCCCCCCAGAACCCCAGGGGCACGGTTCCCCCTGCAGGGGTGTCTGGCGTGGCGATGCTGCCAGTCACCCACACCCCTCTGCGCTCTCTCGCTCACTGGCAGATACGTGCTACGTGCTCTCCTTCTCCGTCATCATGCTGAACACCAGCCTGCACAACCCCAACGTGAAGGACAAGCCCCCCTTCGAGAGGTTCGTGGCCATGAACCGAGGCATCAACAATGGAGGGGACCTGCCTGAAGAGCTCCTGCGGGTAAGTGCTCCTGCCTGCTCGCCTGGCCTGCTGCCGGTTGCTGAGCTGGGAGAAATACCCAACCCAGCCAAAGGCATCATCGATACCTCTCCCTGAGGCATCACGCTGATTTCTGGGCAGTCCCTTCCTGGAGCATCCATGGTCCCCATGAGTGGGAGAGTCCAAGTATTCCTCCCTCCTCCGTGGTTCTGAGAGTGCAAGGAGACAAAGGTCTGCTAGGCCCAAGGTATATCACCCCACAAGCTTATCAGGTGTCTGTTTTTTTACCAGAACCATTAAAAGTCCGGTTGGCAGCACAGCCGGAATAAGGCAGATTCCCTGTCTACCGTGGCTCCGTGCGGCTCCCGGAAGCAGCCGGTATGTCCCACCCCGGCTCCTAGGCATAGGGGCAGCCAGGGGACTCTGCACGCTGCCCCCACTCCAAGCACCAGCTCCACAGCTCCCGTTGGCCGGGAACCACGTGGCCAATGGGATCTGCAGGGGCGGCGCCTGCAGACAGGGCAGCGCACAGAGTCGCCTGGCTGCGCCTCCACATAGGAGATGTAGGTAGGACATGCTGCTGCTTCCGGGAGCTGCCTGAGGTAAGTGTCGCCCGGAGCCTGCCCCTCTCATCCACCCCACACCCCGCCCCGCTGCCCCAACCCTGATCCCCCTCCTGCCCGCCAAACCCCTCGATCCCAGCCTGAAGCACTCTCCTGCACCCCAAACCCCTCATCCCCAGCCCCACCCCAGAGTCTGCACCCCCAGCTGGAGCCCTCACCCCCTGCACCCCAACTCCTTGCCCCATCCCAGAGCCCCCTACCGCACCCTGAACCCTTAATTTCTGGCCCCACCCCAGAACCCACATCCCCAGCCCAGAGCCAGTACCCTCTCCCTTACCCCAACCCCCTGCCTCAGCCCAGAGCCCCCTCCCATACTCTGAGTCCGAACCCCTCGGTTCCACCCCCCAGCACGGATCCCCTTCCTGCACCCCAAACCTGTCATCCCCGGCCCCACCCCGGAGCCCACACCCCCAGCCAGTGCCCTCACCCCCTCCCACACCCCAACCCCCTGAGTCAGGCTGTGAAAATGAGCGAGTGAGTGAGGGTGGGGAGAGCGAGCGACAGAGTGGGGGGGTGGAGTGAGCAGGGGCAGGGCCTCGAAGGAGGAGTGGGGAAGGACTGGCCTCAGAGGAGGGTCGGGGCAAAGGTGTTCGGTTTTGTGCGAGTAGAAAGTTGGCAACCCTAGTGACCCAGCTGCTGAGGAAGGTGGAATAAGTGGACTCTCCCATGCTGGGGGAGCAGGGGTGCTCCAGGAGCGGGGTATGGGTGTCTGGAAGATGAGAGAATGTGCTTTGGCTGGGGGACAGGGAAGGTACATTGGAGAGAGCCTGCCAATGTGGCCTTGCTGGCCAGGGTGTGCTGCAGACCAGGAGAGTGTGGGGCGGAGAGTGTGCGGTGTGTGTATGAGCAAGTGTGTGTGTGTGTGTGTGTGTATGTGACAGAGAGAGAGAACGAATCTGTGAGGGTTGCGTGCGCCTTTGCGAGTGTGGTTAGCGGTGGGTGTGTCTGTTGGGGATGTGTGGGTGGTGCGCGTGTCTGCGAGTTGTCGGGCTGGGTCTTTTAATGGGCCTAATGGAGCGAGGCACCCAACGCCCAGCAACCTGCCAAGAGAGCTGGGCACCTGACTCCCTTAACCCCAGCCTTTGTCTGTAAGCTGTTCTGGGCATGGTGCGTGTACATCTGGGGCATCAAGATGATGATGATGATGATGATGATGATGATGTCATTGTGGGCCAAATTCTGACCCCCTTACTCACACTAAGTAGCACCCATGGACATCCCCATTGACTCCCGGGGAACGACTCGCGGAGTAAGGTGCTGACGTGAATAAGGGTCTCAGAGCCTGGCTCTGCGATTGCCATGTGTCTTCGCTGAGGGGCGTTTGCTCAAAGAAGGACTCTGGCGTCTCTTTCTGCACACGTCGTGCTATTTGTAGCTCAGGTTTCTCTGATCCCGAATGGCCTTGTGCCCCTGGCCTCAGCCTCGGAAAGCCTCAAGGGATTTATGTTACCTGGTGAATTCCTGTATTGCCCGGGGGCCATTCTCCCTCTCGCTAGGCCTCCCTCTGCTGAGGATCCTGGTGGCACCCCCTGCAGGTTCACCCTCTGGCTCCCTTGGCAGTATCAGTACTCAGACCAGACGGGGATCTGTACTTACGAAAGGGAGTCGTTAGGCTTGGGCAAGGAAGAGCCTTAACGGCCAGGTTTCCAAAAGAGCAGAGCAGCACCCCGTGGCCCTTGTTCAGGGGCCTAAATGGGGGCAGAAAGTCTGGCCCTAAGAGACCAAATGCTGCCACTGGCCTGCATTGGCAGCCGCGAAGCAGTGTGTGCATACCCTGCTTCTCCCATGCAATTCCCAGAGCTGTGGAGACCAGCCACCGCATGGCTGCGCCTCAGGGAAGGCAGCATGACAGCTCCTCCCTTCTCACACAATGCCCTGCGGGGAAGGTTTAGTGCCGGGGTTCTCAAACTGGGGGTCGGGACCCCTCAGGGGGTCGCGAGGTTATTACGTGGGGGGTCACGAGCTGTCAGCCTCCACCCCAAACCCCGCTTTGCAGCCAGCATTTATAATGGTGTTAAATATATAAACAAGTGTTTTTAATTGATAAGGGGGGTCGCACTCAGAGGCTTGCTGTGTGAAAGGGGTCACCAGAGCAAAAGTCTGAGAACCACTGGTCTAGTGTCTCCTGCTCAGGTTTAGCCTGTGGAGCGGGGCCCTGCCCAGTGCCGCGATTGTAACTCTTTCTTGGGGTGCCCAGAACTCTAAACCACTGTGTTACCCCCCCCCCCCCCCGTCTGTCCACCTCACCAACAAACTCCTCAAGACGCTGCCAGTCTTAACCTGGCCTTGCTGGTAACCTTCAGTGGACCCGTTCCCAAGCCCCCAGGAAAAATGTTCCTCTGCAGCAACTAGCCCCAGCCCTGGATGCCCACAGAAATACCACGTCAGCTGGTGCCTCCAAAGAGACAGAATCCACACCAGCCAGCTGGCTCACTGAGGACACACTCTTCACCTTAATACACTGAGATGCAGCGGCGTATTATCGCCTAGGCCAACAAGGCCTAGGCCTAGGGCGGCAAATTTGCAGGGGCAGCAAATTTGCTCGCACCCCCTCCCCAACTCCGCCCCTTCCCCAAATCCCCGGCCTGCCTCCTCCCCCAGGCGCGCCGCGCTTCCCTCCTTCCACCTCCCTCCCAGGCTTGCCGCGCGAAAGCGCTGGGAGGGAGGGAGGAGAAGCGAGTAGAGAAGCGAGTAGCGGCGTGCCCGGGGGATAGCGGGGGTGAGCTCGGGCCGGCCGGCGCGGGGGGAAACTCTTGGGGGGGGGGGGGCAGGGAACCGCTCCCTGCCATCCCCCGAGCGCGCCACAACTCCCCTTCTCCCCCCTCCCAGGCTTGCTGCGGAGGAGCGGAGGTGAGCTGGCGCATGGGATGGGGGGAGGCGGCAATTTTTTGAGGGCCTAGCGGCGGCAGATTTGTTAATCCGCCACTGCTGAGATGGTGTGTAGTAAAGCCAAGCCCAAGTGTCTGAACACAGAACAGAGACTGTAGAGATCCTAAGCAGGAGGAAAAGAGATGGTTACAAACCACACAAAAAGCACACGTTTTCTAGTGACTCAAACTTAACCTTAGCAAGCAGCGATCTGCCTCAGCAGCTTTCGCACCTCCATCAAGCTATCAGCATCCCCAGCCCCTCAGGCAGGAGGACCCACCATTCACAGGGTCCCCTAAGTGATGGATAACAAAGGAGTCCCCTTGCTTCTTTTTATAGTGCAAAAAACCTTTGAAATGTATTCTCCAAAAAGTAACCCCCCGGCTCCTCTCCTCGGCTGCTTGTTCTTCGGGGTGCAGGCGACAAGCCCGCTCCTCATCCTCTGGTCAATTTGCTTTCTCAGTTGGCTCACTCACTTTGAATGCAAATGTACCTTCCTTGGCCTTTGCTTGTGATCAAGCCATGCTGTTGTCTCAGAGCATGATCCATGCTGACAGGTAAAGCCACATTCCTTTCTCCAAGGCAGGCTTGCTCATCAGCTGCCTCCACAACATATTGTAAGAACATATTGCCAGCGCCCATACACAACTCTTTATACACAACCCATACATACATCACACAATGATCTTCATGACCAGCGTGGCACCAGTTTTCATATGATACCTTACAAGACAGTGTTTGGCTAAATATTCTGACAGCCGTGTGTTGGATGCTGTAGTGAGTTTGTCAGGCCTGCTGGGATTTATTGTTACATAACCACACGCCCTTTGCCGGTTGGCAGCAGGGGGCTCGTACAGGCCACAGTGATGATTTGGCATTCAGAACCCTGTATCGACACCCACCCCAGCAGCAGCCCTGGCTTTATGTAGCACCCCTCAGCCCCACTCCTCCCTCAGTGGGAAGGGCTCAGCTTTCTGGCATCATGTCACTTCCTGACGGTTGTTTGGAGGAAATTGCAGGAACCTTTTACTCAGAACTTTGCGTAATAAGTGATGTCAAATCCCAGTAGCACAATGTCATACCCGTACAGGACGAGAAACCAGAATCCCCCTCCCACAGCTGTGCAATGTACTGGGGTGTGCCTGGCAGCTCACACGTGGGTGTGTCTGCTTCTCATTGCTACCCTCTGCGCTTGTGCACGGCCGTGCAAAATAGCGTGCTGTCCGCATGGGCATACGTGTGCGTGTGTGTACCCACACCTGATAGCTCACTTACAGGAGTGTTCTCCATTGAGTGTGTGTGTGTGTGTGTGTGTGCATATGTAACTAGGGCCTGTTTCGGCACAGGGATGTTGAACGCACACATACCACTCCCATTTTGTCCCTGTGAGATGAGCATTAAGGGGTACCACGTAGCCTCAACCCCGTCCATCCATATGTAGGGAATGTCAGTGAGTTAAGTCAGGTCACCCTTTGCCAGCTTTTTAATTTCTCTCCCTCTTTCTGTGGGGCAGAATCTGTTCGAGAGCATCAAGAACGAGCCATTTTCCATCCCGGAGGATGATGGGAATGACCTCACGCACACTTTCTTCAACCCCAGCCGTGAGGGCTGGCTCCTTAAACTGGGTACGAAGTGCCTCCTTGTGCAGCTCACCACCATGAGCATCACTTCAGTAGTTTCCTATGCAACCCTGTGGAGGTCTGCAGCAGCCGCCCTTCCTTCTGCTGCCGCGGGTTGAGCCTGACCCCTGGTGTTCAAACCTACTGGCTGTTCTCTAACCAGCCCACGCCTGCACCTCCCAAAGCCAGTCTGCTGAGAAAGATGCCTCCCCTCCCCCCAGTTCTGAGCTGTGCCAGCTCCGGGGGTGCGTTCAGCATGGGGTGGAGGTTATATCCCTGGGCACTAATCTTCAGGGGGTGATTGTGAGGGGGAGCTGTCAGGGACTGACACGTTTTGAATCTTGCTGCCCCTAGGAGGCCGGGTGAAGACCTGGAAGCGCCGTTGGTTCATTCTGACTGACAACTGCCTGTACTACTTTGAATACACCACGGTAGGGCTGCTCTTCAGTCAAGCAGTTCTCTCCCAGGGACTCTATATTTTCCAGGGGTAATGAGGGATGGGGATACACCCCATTCTGTCATCCCTGGACTGCGGTCAGACTAAGCCCCACCATTCCCACCCCCCGCCCCAAACTATGACCCACAGCTGCCATTCCAGACTGATTAGAATCAACCACATGATACGTTCTGTCAGGCAGAACTCTGGCCAGCTAAACCCCTTTGATTTGCTAGTGTGTTTGTGTTGGGGGCCTGCTTTGCCATAATGCTCTGGGGTGCATGCCAGGCAATGGGGACCAACACTTCATTGGTCTGGGCGCTGGGAGCATGTCAGACCCTCATACCTGCTTCTTGTTGGCTTCCAGGATAAAGAACCTCTGGGGATCATCCCCCTGGAGAATCTATCGGTTCGGAAGGTGGAGGACCCCAAAAAGCCAGTAAGTCTCCACCGTTTGGTACCGCGACAAGCATGTGTCGTCAGCTTGGCCTCTCTGCTGAGGTTGTCCTGGAGGTTGCAGTTCTAGTCTTTGTTACGCTGTTATAGACCAGGAGTAACACATTAGTCAATGGCCCTTTACTTGGGTTACACTGGTGGAAGATCAGTATCAAACTCAGTACGTTTGAGTTGCCTATTAGCAGTCCTGTCCCTCTCTATAGCAGCTCCAGGTACCCTGGAGCAGGGGCTGGAACAAGACCTGATTGCTCAAGGCACAGGGGTCTTGACTTCAGGCCAGGAAGTTATGGTTCTGTTAGAGCTGGGTGGAAAAATTCCAGTGAAGTTTTTCATGGGGAATTTGCCAATTAGTTGAAATTGAAACATCCTGTGGCGATGGTTCAATATGGACGGAGTTCCTCCAGAAACCAGGCAGCTTTCGAAACCTGCCTGGCATCCTGCCAGCTCACCCACCCAGCACCTTTCCAGCTCACTTGGTGGGCAGACTGTCTCAGAGTTAGGGACCCCGGGCTTTCCCTTTCATGGACACTGCTGAAATGTTTCGGTTTTGTTCTGAGTTTGAATGGAACCAGATTTTGAAATATTGGAATCCTCCACAAAACGAAACGACCTTTCTCTGCCCAGCTCTAGATTTGGTTCCTTCATCAGGAGTTTGTGCCACACCATACTGTGCTACTTTGGAGGAAGTGTATAAAACTGGCCTGCGGCAAGTTTAGGCTTGAAATTAGATGAAGGTTTCTTACCATCAGAGGAGTGACGTTCTGGAACAGCCTTCCAAGGGGAACAGTGGGGGCAAAAACCTAACTGGCTTCAAGACTGAGCTTTAGGGGGCAGAGGGGATGGTATGATGGGACTGTCTACAATGGCATGTAGCCGATCTGCGACTGCTAGCAGCAAATAACTCCAATGGCTGGTGATGGGACACTAGATGGGGAGGGCTCTGAGCTACTACAGTGGATTCTTTCACGGGTGTCTGCCTGGTGGGCCTTGCTCAGTGTCCAACTGATCTCCATATTTGGGGTCAGGAAGGAATTTTCCCCCGGGTCAGATTGGCAGAGACCTTGGGGGTTTTTCACCTTCCTCTGCAGCATAGGGCAGGGGTCACTTGCAGGTTTAAACTAGTGTAAATGGTGGATTTTCTGTAACTTGAAGTCTTTAAAGCATGATTTGGGGACTCCAGTAACTCAGCCAGAGGTTAGGGTCCATTACAGGAGTGGGTGAGCAAAGTTCTGTGGCCTGCAATGTGCAGGAGGTCAGAATTGATGATCATGATGGTCCCTTCTGGTCTATGAGTAAGAAATAGCATTGTGCTGTTAGAGAGGTTCCCCAAGAAAGCTTACGTCAACCTGCCCCCCTTTCTGTCTGTCCCTTGTGCATAGCCAGTGCTGGTTGCAGTATGACAGGTGATGCTGTGCTATCAGAGGTGCCCAAAAGCTGTTAGGCAGTGTTCCTGTATAACTCTCTCTGGTAGGCTGCTTGGGGTGCAGCACAAACCACAGGGTGTTTTCCAGAGTCTCGGCCATTGTTCTCTCTCTCTGTAAAGCATGGTTTGGTGGTCACAATGGTACAGGAGTCACTGAGTGCAGAGTGTTGTGGTTTTTACTTTGAAGTCTCTGAGCTACTGGAATCTAACTCAACAGTGCTGAGATCCCCAGAGCATGACAGGCAAAGTCCTGGCCCCAGTTCAGGAACGGACAAGCCCACTGCCACCTCTGCAAACTCCCTTAGTGTGACCTCCCAAAGCTGGGCCCCTGGAACAATGGACTTACTGCCTGACTCCCTCCACGTCTCTCCCTGCAGAACTGCTTCGAGCTCTTCAATCCCAACTGCAAGGGGCAGAAGATCAAAGCTTGCAAGACAGATGGGGATGGGAAGGTGGTAGAAGGCAAGCACCAGTCCTACAAGATCTCGGCAGCCACGCCAGAGGAGCGCAACCTGTGGATTGAGGCGATACGGTGAGGGGACGGGCCCTGAGGGAGACGAGAGGACTCCCCCAGGCAGGGTGAAATGGGGTGGAATGAGCTCAGGTCAGGGGAGACATGGCACTAGCAGAGGCCAGAGCTGCCTGTGGTGTGCCAGCGGGCAGAGAGGTGAATGGCAACGCTGTGCTAGCATGCAGAGCTGGAGGCCTCACCTTGCCTCTTTGGGGCACTTGGGCAGCAGCTATTTCACATGCAAGGGAGCAGAGGGGCATCGCCCCTGGGGAGATAAATGTTCACACCTGTGGGCATCCCTGACCCCCTCGCCTCTCCACCCCTATGGCTCCAGTGCATTAGCCATCTAGGGCCTGGAGGCCCTTGCAGTGAATCTTCAGGCTCCTCCTCTGGCCTGCAAAGCCTGACTCTACATTAGTTGGAGGCGCCGTGTGCTGCTGAGGGGCCTGCAGATCCCCTGTTCTGGGGAGGGAGGCAGTCAATTGTTTGCAGGTTCAGAGACACCCTTGTGGCTTTCCATGTCGTTTCCCAGCCCTGAATCTCTCTCTCGTTCCTCCTCTATCCAGGACCAGCATCACCCAGGATCCCTTCTATGACCTGGTCTCAGCCCGTAAGAAAAAGATCGCCAGCAAAAACTGAGCCAGCTGCCGGCCCACTCGTTACTTTCCAGATGATCTTTAATCACTGGGCCATATCCTCCCCCACTGGGCTCTACCAGCGAAGGACGCTCAGGAGCAGCACCTTCCCCTACCTCCTGACTGGTCAGAAGGTGACCGACAGGCTGACAAGCCCCATTTGGCTCCTCCCTTTCCAATCCGGGAGTTCAATTCTGAAGGGGAGTAGGTTGATGCGGACGTGGATCTGGAGGCCGGGACAATGGGCACAGCCTCTCCCGCACTTGAACTGACAGAGGCTGTATGACAAGACATAACCTTGTGTACACCTCACACTGGCCTCCTCACGTTGGACAGGCTGCAGGGGTCTCCAGCCCCCAGACTTGGCCAGGACAGTCCTGCAGACGTCTGGTTTCTCAGACTCCCTCCCCAGCCACTGAGCTGGGCAGCGGCCCTGTGGGCTCTTCTGGGGGAATCCCAAGAAGGTTTCCTCCCCCCAGGATTGTCCACAGGCCAGCAGCAGACTTCAAGAGCCAGCTGCATCTCTTCTACGCAAGTAAACCTGAGAAGTGAGAGGCCTGTGACCATGAAGAGGTCGTCACTGGGGTTAAGAACCCCAGTGTGAAACCAGAGCCCAAGGGACGTGACCCTGTGCACTGGGGAGCCCTCTCTGCACCCTGCCATTCCAGGGTCCCCCACACTGTGCCCCTGAAGACAGCATTAATAGTTTTGAGTCCCCAGTGTGTATATATGTGTACATTGACAATGGGTTGCAGGAAGCCAAGGTGGTTTGGTGGGGACAAGGAGAAATGGTGCCCTTTGGTACTGTACCGTTGGTCCAGGGTAACAGCTTTGCTCTTCTACCTCCCAAGTCTCTCATACTCAGGGCCTGGCAAACAGGTCTCTGTGAGGGGCTGAGGCTCTGGAGAGAAGCCTTAGTGTGGATCTTCAGGGTCTTCTCCCAGCCTGCCGCACTCCCAGGGCTCACTCAGCTGCACCGTTTCAGGGGGGCAGATCTCTGCATCCCAGCTGCCCCCAGCCAGAAGCAGGGAGAGCAGGGAATGCCCAGCACATACAGTGCCCTGGGGTTTTGAACTCTGGTCTCTTGTGTAAAAACCCCAAACAAGCCGCAGGGTGGAATGATCATTAAAAGATAAGAATTGCACAGATGATATCAAAGGATGTCACATTGCCTTCTTTAGTAAGCTGCACGCCCAGGGTGATGATTCAGCACAGTATCGGGACACGGAAAGGCACTGAGTAGCTGGATGCAGGCGGGAGGGGCGCGGTGAGCGTGGTAACAGGCCAGGGGAGAAGTGGCAGGGAGCCATGGAAGACCATGATGCCCACTGGGAGAGGTCCCCACAAGCCGGGGGATGGTAGGTAGGAGGGGAATTGCAGGTTAGAATCATACATGCTCCCAACCCTGTAGTTTGCAGGGCCCCTGCATCTCTTCCTCTCTCCTACCATCCCCGTTTTCTAACCTCTCCCTGGCTCCTTGCTGTGCCTTCCTTCCTCCCCCTTTCCTCCTGCAGGGGGCTCTGTCCACCAGGAAATCTGCAGCAAGACCAGCGCTGCCAGATTAGTTATTTTGCCGATGCACCAGGGATGGGGAATTAATTTCAAGAGGCAGGGACTGTATCTCGGAGTCGAAGCACGCACTCACCCACGAGAAGAAACGTGAAGGTTTTTGTCTGGTCTCTTTTATTAATGTCTCCGGGATTGAACCTCTGAGTCTCTCATCTGTAGGGGCTCCAGTGGGGGAAAGCTGGATCATGGGGGGCAGGGGTGGGGTGGGGTAGGGGGGAGGGGCTTAGAATCTTGCCCTCAGCTGGCAACTTCTCCAAAAATCCTCTGTGAATTTTAAAAGATGCCACCAGCTTCCCAGCCTTGCCCAGAAGAAGAGATTCTGGGGATCGTTTTCGGTCCTTGTGCCCCAAGACCGGGCCACAGGGCTCCGGTTCAGGTTCTGCCCTTCCTCCCCGGGGCATGGACCCAGAGTCCAGTGCAGAAATCTAGTGCAGGGCTCTTATCTCAGTCCTCCCTTGGTTAGCTCCTGCAGTTCCCCTTGGGCTGCCCCCCCATGCGCTCCATAGCTAGTTCTCTCCAGAGCAGGATTATTTCGGGGTGGAGGAGGGTGAGAAGGGCAATGGGTGGGTAACACGAAAGGCGATGGAGTAGGCGGTTATTCAACTCATCCATCCAGCGAGACAGGAATGGAGGTAGTGGGTTTCCCTTCTCCAGGGGGTGGAGGAGGGGAGGACAGGGGGCAGAGTCTGTCATCCTTCCAAGGCTCCAGTGTAAAAATCTCATCTCCCAAGTCGTTCATGCACCATCCGCTCTACCCAGCACAGCGCCAATACACCACTCACCTAGTGCATGCCACCCACCGACAACACAAGGCGCACTAAGTTCACTAGACGGGCACACCCGCTACCCACACACCCTGCCTGAACACATGCCTACCAACAGCCCAACCCAGCCCCGTGCACACACAGAATGGGCACAAATGTCAACATTGGCCCCCTGGCTGGGGATGCCTCATGCTGGACAGCCAAAACTTGAGTTCCCCCAACCCCAAATCAGCACGCTGTTGGCACACACATTCACGGCACCCACAAACTCACTACATGAATGATTTGTGTGGCTCCAACAGCCAGACACTGGACATTTGCTGTGTCTCACTGGCCACAGACACCCATCCTCCTGCGTCTCGCTGCTAGAAATCACAGCACGCGCACACACGCCATTAGATAGTAAATTTGACAGATTGATGGCTAGCAAAAATGCTCTGCTCTCTCGTCACCAGCGGCACGGGTGACGCACACACACACAGAGGAAAGGCTGACACTTGTCCCCCTCCCATCAAGGACTCCTGCACACAGCTGGTAATTTATTTTCATAATAAATGGCCATTGATCTTGGTAAAAGGCCAGGAGGAGAACAACGCAAAGCCAGGAAATATGGCAGCTCACTGCATTGTGCCTCCTGCACCTGCCCCTCCCACGCCTGTTTATCGGCTCCTCCTTGGAAGGATAATACATTTTAAATGGCTTTCTAGAAATCATTTGCAAGCAAGGGAGGTGGCAGCTGGGAGGGAAGCCAGGGGTTTCAGGCACTTCAGCTTAGAGAAGTGTATATATAGCAAGGCACACTAACAGCACAGCACAGAGGCGGGGAAGCTTATGAGAGAGCTGGACAGATGGATGGGCCCAAAACTGTATTCCAGGTTAACCTTCTGCTCCGGATCCAAATGTCATTTGCACCTATGGCTATAAAAAGGACACATTGGATCCTCAAGCCCAGCCATGCCTGAGCTCAGGGGGAGGTTGGATTCTGAACCAAATTTTGTTCTGCAGTTTGTCACCAGGGGTGGTTTGTCCCCCATTCTAATGAGCTGACTGGTGCATTTCTCTCTGAGGCCTTGCTATAGTGCCCCTCACTGCAGTATATCGGTGCTGCTGTCGCATGTTAGCCCCCTACTGGGTGGAATCAGCACTGCTCAACTATGTGTCATATGCCCCGTACTGCCGAAAACAAATGAGGTTTCTCCTTTGGCAGGGAGGTGGGTGCTTTTTGTTTTTGAAGTGGGAGAATCTGCATTTTAGGGGAAGGGGTGCAGCACAGGGGGAAAGGGGAGGATCTGACTGGGGCAGGGGTTGAGGGTGGTGCTCAGTCGTACTATGAGCCACGCACCCCTCCCATTCCTGAATGTCACAGGGTCTGAGCGGCTTTCCCCACCCCCCAGGGGAGGCTGGCTCCCGGAGGTGGGGGGAGCACCGGGCCGAGGTTCCTGAATGGACAGCACCATAGGCGCCCACACTCTCGCACAGTGGCGAGGTGGCGGGGATCTAAATGACTGTGACAGGGATGCGCTGCAGTCTAATCTCGCCCTGCCATTTCCAATTCTTCCCCTGCCCATTGATGAAGATGAATGGGGCCTGTCCCAGGGACTCACACATCGTTTCGTTCTCGCCGGGCCAGAATGTGTCCCCTGGACCTTCTCCTCCCACTGTGTGCTGCCCTAGGAGATCGGACGTGATGCAGTGGAAGGGGCAGGGGGAGTGCATGGGTCCTCATTAGCCACCCAGCACCCCCGTGATACCCCGGGTGTCTGGGTTGTCTGCATGTCCAGGAATAGCAGTAAAAGGCCTTCCTGGCTATGGGTCCTTCTGCTTAGCTCCAGCAGGCTGTGCCTCCCCAGGGCTTTGGGGCACTGTACAGACCATGAGACTGGGGCACCAGCCATAGCCCCCTCCTTCCCGGGGAGAAGGCACGCGGCCCTCCTTCCAGCGTCTCTGTGCTCTCGGGCCCCCCACAACCCCTCACCTGGCTGGGCCATTCCCTGCTGCCACCAGGGGGGCATTGCCATTCTGCACGCGCCCGCTCCCCCCACCCAGCTGGGGGCAGCCGCAAAACCAGCAAAGGCATCACTATCAAAGCATAGCAGGGAGCCAAGAGCTGGCTCCCTCCTGGCAAGGTGAAGGAATGGGGCTGGAAACCTGCCTGGCTCCGCTCCTCACCCCAGCTCTGTCTGCGGGGCCAGACGCAGCTCCTATCTCACCTCCCCAGGAGGCTGCAGCCGGGGTGGATCTCTGGCGTGTAGCGACTCACCCCAGTGGGGGAATGGGGAGTCAAGATTAGTGAGAGGGCTGCTAGCGTGGGGCAGAGGGGAGTTGGAGGATATGTCTACACTGCAAAAAGGATGAGCTTAACTCCTGATTGGGGCGTGCTACAGTGTAGACACATCCCAGCTGAGTTGGAGAGCGAGATCTATAGATACAGCACCATTCCAGTCTGGCACAGGCAGGGCCGGCTCTAGGCACCAGCAAAACAAGCTGGTGCTTGGGGCGGCACATTTTTAGGGGCGGCATGGCCGGCGCCAGAATGCCGCCCCTAAAAATGTGCCCCGGCCACCCTAGCTCACCTCCGCTGCTGCTGCCGCTCGCGCACCATGGCGCGCGAAACAGCTGATTCACGCGCCGCTACTCGCTCTCCCTCCCAGGCTCTCAAACCTGGGAGGGAGGGGGAAATCCCGAGCGGCCGCGGTGCGCGAAACAGCTGATTCGCGCGCCGCTGCTCCCCCTCCCTCCCTCCCTCCTAGGCTTGAGAACCTGGGGGGAGGAGGCAGGGCTGGGGATTTGGGGAAGGGGAGGAGTTGAGGCGGGGCCGGGGGTGGGGTAATTAAAAAACGGGGCGGGGCGGCCAAAATTATTTTTGCTTGGGGCAGCAAAAATCCTAGAGCCGGCCCTGGGCACAGGGGATTCTTGGGAGGGGGCAGCTATTGAGACAGGCCTATTCCTGGGGTGGGGCCTGGGGGCTCTTCTGGGACAAGGAGCTGTA